AAGTCCCGGAAGGATCTGGAGAAGCTGGTGCGGCGGCTGCTGAAGCAGACAGATGAGTGCAGCAGGGAGGAGACGGGCCGCAAATCATCGCTGATTGCCTGAGCTCGAGGAGAAGCTGCTGGCAGTGTGACCTCAGGTATATTTTGGGAAGCAGAACTGGATCCTTTGCCTCTTCTTCCTCCTCACTTTGTTGGTCCGGGGAATTTTGTTACCAAAAAAAAAAGAAAAAAAAATAGTTTTTCTTCCATCCAATAAGGAAATCAAACAAACAAGCAGTCTATCACAACTCAAGCATCCGTGAGCGGTCCGTGATTCACAATCCATCTGCAGCAGCTGATACCTCATTGGAGCAAACCCAGCCTGTGCCAGTGACTGCCGCTCACAGAGGGTCTGGCAGCAGTTTCCCATCACTTCTTGATGCTTTCCTTCTCTTCAAAAGCACCAGTACCTATTTATTGAATGAAAACATTATTGAGATGGCAATGAGCAGAAACCAAAAAGCACCGTGCTCCTTTTTTCAGATAATCACGACTGGGGAAGATATTCCCATCCACCTTCTTCTTCCCCATTTATTGACTGTAGTGAATTACAGCCCAGCAATACTGCAGTTCCTGCGTGGCCTCAATACTGATTAAAACATGCAATTAACACAAAGGCGTTTTAATTCCTTGGGGAAGTCAAACCTGGAGCACCTGTCAGAGCACACGGGAAGGCGTGTTGCACAGCACTGCCTCCTAAGAGCTCGTTGTTAGCACAACAGGTAATGCCCCCAGCCCCTTTTCTTAAGCATGACCAGGAACTCTTACCCCCTGCTTTCTTTTCACTTGGAGTGTCCACGTATTATATGAGTTTATAGTTTTGCTGTGCTTCCCCTCGCAGGATATGCTTTTCTCCATATGAAATGCAAACACTGCTTGACAGCAAAAACACCCCCCAGATATGCTCGTCCCCTGCTCCCTTCTGCCCACATTAGGCTCCTGCCTGAAGGCCAGGATGGCCGCTTCTCCCCCATTGCCCCAAAGGGGCTTTTCTTATAGGAAAAAAGGAACTTTTGGGATAGGAAAGGTATTTATATTTAGTCTTTGACAAGAGCTGGAACGCTCCTGGGGCAAGGACGTGCAGCACCTCCCAGATCCCTGCATAGCTCCTTGAACACAGCACACGGACAACATGCATATGTATCCAGTTATCTTCACTTTATTTGGTGTTACACCCTAGTTTATCACTGATGTTTTCCTTCCTTCCTTAGCAGCATTTACAATTAACCTCCTGTTAATTATAAGCCTTCAGTGTATCACATGGCAGCACGGCCCCTGTGCATGCAGACACACTGCAGCTCCTTACAGTCCTACGTCGGTCATGAAGGATATAACAGAGGCAATAATTACAATTCTCTCCTTGCAATTAAAATTCAGACAGAACATAGCAAAGAGTCTTTAGGGAGAGCTGGACCCTACTGTGCTGGTAAGCCATTTCCCAGCATAACCACCTTCCTGCATATGCTGGGGCTTGGCTGCACTGCTGTCTGCCCCAGCATCATCATGCCCAAAGGTGGGCTGGGCTGGGGCTCACACCATGCAGTCAGCACAAGGAGGAAAACCGAGGGCCATTTGTACACCTAGGAGAGGGTAGGAATGTTTCCCCACTGCCCACAGTTTAGTTGAAACCCGTGCTGTGTATATATGCATGTTTGTAAGATGTAAGGTGACGGAGGGTGCACTGGGATGGGTTGGATCAGGCGTTTGTTAAGAGCTAGAAGCCAAAAAAATAAAATAAAAAGGAAAAGAAGCCATGCCGGATGGACAGCAATGTTTCCATACTTACTTTGTTTACAGTGCTTTGTAAATAGGTTCCAGTGAGTCTGTCTTTAGATGGATGTTGTGTCAGCTGCCTTCCACTTTATCTTTGTCACGTAGGTTTATTTACTGTAACTACTTGTGCAAGTTCAACTTTTCTAACATGTTTTTATTTTGGACAGTTTTTTAATTGACATTTTCAACAAATAAAGGATAAAAATTGCTTCTTAGCCCTTTGTGTCCATCTCCCCTCTCTCTGGGGCTGCACCCAGGGAAGCAAGTTGGTGCAGCATGAGAACCTGCTGAGCACTCAGCAAGTACAGCAGCGCTTGCTATGGGCATCTCTTATTTCAGAGAAAAGGGACTGAAATGCTGTGTTCTGCACTCTGACACACTTGACACTGGGGAAATGCTGATGTGGATGGTCACCATGGCATTTAGGGGTCGTTCCCATTGGTGCTGGGGCAGGGAGATGTGTTTCCATTCCCTGAGCCCCAGTTGTGTCCTGTTGTCAGGAATGCTTTATGGAGAGAAGCTCTTCTCCATCGTGCCACTTGGTTGCTGTAGATAAGCCACTTCCTGCCTGTTTTAATATTTTTTTCTTTTTTTTCTTCTTCTTTTTTTTTTTTGTTACTGCTTTATCTTTTTTTTCTGGGGATTAGGTGTGGTGACAGGATTTCCTTTGGTCTACTGCTTGGACAAGTCCTCTCTTGCACCCTGGTATCTTTAACTCTTTGGTGGGACACTCAGAGGTACTTCAGGAAACTGCAGAGCCAGAGCAGTGCTACATCCAGACCTGAGTGTCCTTGAGCATCAAATGGTCCAGAGACCAAACACAAAGCATCCCTCAGCTCATTTTGGAGGGAGCACCTGCCTTCCCACGTCCCCATGGGGCCAAATCCAGGTGTTAACCAGAGCCCCCCACTCTCTACTGAACATGGACCCCATTTATCCCCTTCTCTTACACCAGGTCCCTTTGCACAAGCAAAATAACACAGGCAGCACTAGCATCCTCTAGGCAACAGAGCTGGACATCAAAAACCAGCAGTGTGAGAACAGACCCAAAAAGCAGCTTAATGTGTGCAGTTAGACCCCCAGAGAAGCTGGGGCAGCCTGAGAGGTGCCCATGTGGTGCCATGTGCCAGGACAGCTGCCACCACAATGTATTCATCTTCCCCTTGGCCCCTTTTCACTTCTTCGCTCAGGAAGGAGAAAAATCAGCTTAGAAACCGTAAATTCCACAGCCCAATAAGTGACAGCGGGGCCCTGCAGTGAGGGAAAAATCAGAGTATTGATAACCTTCAAACTTTCCACGGGGAGAGGAAAGCTGCAGCACCACGGAGGGGAGGAGAACAAAGCAGCCCGGGAAAAGGCCATGGGCTGAGCCAGACAGCTGGATGGTGACACACACATCGCCTCTCCTCCCACGTGCAGCCTCTCATCAGCATCCCACAGGCTATTTTTGGCAAGTGAAGAAACAGAGGCAAGAAACAAGAGCCCCAGGAAAGGCAGCGGTGCGAGGCTAGGAGACTCGCTGGAAGGGAGAGATAGCATTTAACAGCTTTCCAGCCCAGCAGCACCTCTATTCCTGAGGGCGCTACCCTCCTCACCCAGATCCTTACAGGCTCTGACCTTGTGCACCACACCATCCCATCCACCTGCTGCAAAGCAGGAAGGAGAACCTCGCATCACCCAAGCAAAAACAAAAGACCTCTTCCAGCCAGGTGCTATAAATCCCCTAAATGAGCCCCTCCAGCTGCACCTCATGCTGCCCTCCTGCTCTCCTGCCCTTGCTTGGAAACACACCCAGCCCTGCCCTGCATCTCCACTGTGTCCCAATGTGTTTGGGGCCAGCTGTCCCCACTGTGTCCCTTGCACTGTCCTGATGCCCTGTTGATCCCCAAACTCTGTGTAGGACAACAAGAGGTCTCACTAGGAAGGGTTTACAGCATTCAAAGCAGACAAAATCCCCGTTCATGGGGCACGATGTTGTGCAAAGCCCCATTGCAGCAGGTGCTGTGGGGTGCATGGCTCGGCGATGCTCTGCAGCCTGCACGATGCTTCAGATACACTCAGGAATGGGGACCCCAAATGTCAAAATGCATTGCAAAACACAACCACAGCCGCATGCAGCTTCTTCACACTGTGCAGTTTCCCATGCACTTTGGGCTAGTCCCTCTGTCCATAAATATGAGGCAGTTTTAGCTCAAGTTAAATAAATAGTTTTTATACATGGCATGGTACAAGAACGCTCTGTTCTCAGACAAAGTTATGCAGCTTTGGAGAACAGCCACAAAACTGCAAATTAAATTATGACAAAACCAAGCAGGCAGAGCAATCCTGCTCTCTGACTCTGTGGAGGCAGCAATGGGCACCCACCACTGATATGTCCAACCTGGCAGCACCTGCACTCGAGCGCCACAGCAGGACCAGGCCCACAGCCTCATGATGCCATGCAAACCCTAGGAAGCACCCAGATCTGATATCTCCTCCACTTGCAGACTTGTTGCCTCCAGGAGTGTTCCCAATCTCTGTGCATCACCTTGTGCTCCTGCCACCTCAGTGCTTTCCTGGTCCTGCTCCCATTGAGGACAGCTAGAGAGAGGCAGCATGTCCAAACCTGACAACAGTGGCGAAAGCCCCTTCCACAGAGGCTCTCTATCTGGTATGAGAGCATTCTCTTGGGCAAATTCTGTTCACCAAAAGCAGAGCAACACCAGTGCCTTACCAGAGCTCTGGGTTGAAAGCAGCAGCCACCCCCAGCCATCAACAGTGTTTTTGATGATGGTTGAATTTCAACCAGCACAAACTTGGCCATGTTGAGCAAGAAGGTTGAGTCCTGTAGGCAGTTATGAGTGGAAAAAAGGAGTTCTCAACATAATACAATTAGAGTGGCAATAATGTATCACCAACAGCCAACACGCAGGGACAGTGCCTGGCTGATCGATTTCTTTAGAGGTGACGTTCTTCAGCCTTTTAACGTTTTTTTTCCATTGATGTTCTGTAAGCAGATGGGTACAGGAGATATGCACGAACTTAGCATGGCTGGAGCACCCTGAGCCGTCCTACGGTGTTAGGAAGGAAAGAGCATTGGTAGAGTTTGCTAAATTATGGGGCGTAATTGGGCCAGCAGAGCAGGGCATGGTGGACCAGACATGCAACGCTACCAATGAAAGAAAAAAGAAAAGTGCAGACAACGACAGCTTCAAACTTTTTTCCTTTCCTGTTCTCAGGGCCCGTTGGCCCTCATCAATAAATAACAAAATATACAATATAAGAAACAAGAACAACAAAGAGGCAGGGGAACATAAATACGGGAAACAGGGAAAGCCCCTTGGCTCTACAGAGTCGGGCTGGGCCCCTCCTCTCTACAGCTTGAACATGCCAAAGTAGGTGTTGCCAGGGTTGGTGTTCACTAGCGTTGAGTCCGTCACGTTGACGAAGACCATGTCGCCCTGCCGCAGCTCAAAGACACCGCCCTCCCGGATGGACTGCAGCTCACAGAGAGCCGTGGAGGTGCTGTGCGTGTCGAGTCCCTTCATCAGGAGACGGTCCTGTTCCATGGGGAGGTACAAATAAATGTAGAGGGTGAACGGCGCCGAAGCCGCCGCCTTGGTGCAGAAGCTGACTTGTGCGTAGATGTAGTAGAGCCCTGCTTTTTCCACTTTCAGCTTCCCCTCATGGTAGGATATCAAGCTGCTTGTTGGGGCATAGCTCGTCGTCTTCCACTCCAGCACTGGGGAGAAAATATGGCTATTGAGCTGGGATAGATCTTGCTCAGGAGGCTGATTTTGCAGGGCAGCCCCTTGGACATTTGGCATCACAGCCTCCAACCCCAGAGGGGCAAAAGGGGGTTCCCGTCCATCCCACGACACCATCCCCAAACCATGGGACATAGATTCCTATCCCTGAAGCTGGGATGCAGTTGTTGGCGAGACACAAGGCCTTGCACTGATGTGAATGGAGAAGCGCTTTGCTTCCTTCATCTAACCACACGGAAATCATAGAATCATAGACTGGCTTGGGTTGGAAATGACCATAAAGATCAGTGCCTGGGGCAGAGGTAAGACTTCTCCAAGGAGGTGCAAAGATGAGCATCCAGTGTTGCTCCAGGAGCTCTGCCCACAGTGCAGACCTGCTGCTGCCATTGCTTCTGGGGCACGAGTGGTGTTCTTGGAGCAGCTTGTGAACATGAACTCTCATGGAGACATCTCCTCTGCTCCCACTGCCAAATCGCAGAGCTCCTGGCAGCCCGTTGAGATTGGGACTGCTTTGTAATTGCAACAGGTGCTCAAACAGGGAGTTTCAAAATGCAACGAGCATCTTGATTCTTTGATCTTATCTAATTCAGAGCTTTCCACAGGTAGACTGAGCTCTGGGTGAATTGCTGCGTCAGAGATGGAAAGAGCAGCTGCCGATTACCGGCAGTTACTCCAGAATTAAATCAAAGGTGCTCTGATTGAGAAGTCCTTGCGAGATTGAGAGGCTGACCCTGCAAACTCTTATTTGCCTCGGTAAGCCACGTGGGATGGCACGTAGCTGAGGGCCGTGGTGGGGACAAAGCCACAAGTGCTACCTTACCTCGCACTGCTCTGTTGCTCTTCACCCCTGCCAGGTGCGTTGCAATCGGCTGCCTCTTCTCCTCTGCAATTTGGAAACACTGGTGTTACTGGGGCCCAGCACTGCTCTACCCCCACAACCTGGAACTCCCAGCTTGAGGCTTCTCCATGGTGCACGTCCAGCCCAGAGGCAGTCTGCAAAGCCCCCTTCCCTTTGAATGAGGCAGGATCTGGCCTCAGCAATGACGTGACCTGGATGTGCCCGCTGCTTACCTGCCACAGATGTCTCATTCCTACTCTTCAAGTGGGGGTGCTCATGACCTGCAAGGAGAAAAAGGGAAGGATTTAATTTTGAGTTCGTTTTCATCAGCTTTGGTCAAGGCAGGATCTTGGCAAGACAACTGTGTCCACATCTGTGCCAACCCCCTGCCATGCACAGAACCCCATGGAGATACTCTGCTGCTCCCAACAGACTCCACCAAGGGGACCAAGGGGACCAAAGGACTCCCTCCTACCCCCTGCCCCTTGCAGCCACTCATCTCTCCTCCCTTCAGCAGCACCATGACACTCACCTCTGTGCATTTCAAATTTTGGCAACTCCTCGCTGGCTGTCCTATCCTGCAACAACAGCAAAAATATATACTTGAAGATATGTATCCTTACATTTTTAAAAAATAATACACTGTTTTAAGATGTATGAATCAAACACCATTAAAGTCTGTGCGTAAAGGATGCTCTGGACAAAATTCAATTGGTTCTGTTTGTTACCAGCAGAAGGTACCAGAAGCCATCACATCTCCCAGCACCTTTCCAGAATTGGGTACGGCTGTGGGCTGCCCTGCTCTCTGCAGCATGAGGGTTGCAGAGCTTTTGTTCTTAGGTCTTTAATTTTAATAATGCTGTGCAATTAAAATGCTCTGCAAGGTGGTTTTTCTGCACCCAAACATGAGAAACTTCTGCAGTAGGTGGAGGTGATGTTCCTAAGCCATGGGGAGGCATTTGAATGACATCCTCCTCCTGCTCCTCACTGGACTCACTCCAGCTGATCCAAGCCATGCACTGTCATTAATGGCTGAGCTTGAAAGTGCTCCTAACATCCTCCTTCCCACTGCACAGCAACTGAGAGAGATGGAAGACAGCAGAACACCGATGTTTTTCAGGCCAGGATGGAAGCTCCATCCCCTCCTGCCTTGGGCATGCTGAAGTTGGACCTGCTCTGGCCAAGCTTTGGGGGAAAAGTGGATGAGATTGTTCATTGATGTCAATAGTGTAAAATTATCATGTAAAAAAAGGTATAAAAAAGAGCACTTGTTCTGTAGCCCCAAGATTTCAAAAAGGCTTTGGGTGATGGTTTGTGTGTGCCTAGGAGTCTCCCTCCACCTTCAGCAGGGGTTGTATCCACCCAGCAGCAATCTACCTTGCACTGAAGGTCCTGGAAGCCTTTCAGAACTTTTTCACAGTCCAATAATGTCGATTTCTGACCTTCTTCCGTCTGACATTTCTGCACTTTCCTCAGGAAGATGTAATCTTCATTTAAACTCAACACTTCTTCCATCTGCCGGTGGGGGAGAGAAGAGAGAGGGTCAGTGAGTTGCTGCTGGGGAATGCAGATAAGAGGCATCCTCACCAAATCACAGCTTGGGGAGGTCAGTGGTCTTCGCTCAGCATGGGGAGGAGAGGGACACCAATTGCTCCCACCATCCACCAGCAAAATCCACTGCTGGGTGCCCCAACCCGGAGCTGCCCCACTTTGCTCGGCCAGGAAGCTTACGCCCCAGGCTGTCACCCACTTACATCTTAATTTAGATCAAGACAACACATTTAAAAGGTGCTAATACCGGTCTTATCTTTGCATCTGTATTCTGGGTTTAAGATCTATTCCATTTCTGTAGTTTATATGTTTTCTGCTTTGGGGGAAACAGTTTTAGATCGGTGATTTTAAGCATTGTGCGGCGCTGCTGCAGTCACAGCAACTTCAAATACAGCTTTTCAGCTTTTCTGTTTTTGCAGTCCCACGTGTGGGACAGGGTTATGGATACTACGCACCTTCCATCAAAAAGGGTGAAGTATTAAGGTCCACTGCTTATTTTCCCAAAGCAGAAAGGATCCCAGAATCATAGAACTTTTTGAATTGGGAGGGATCTTTAAAGGTCATCTAGTGCATATCCCCTGTAATAAACAGGGATATCTACAGCTCCATCAGGTGCTCAGAGCCCCGTCCAGCCTGACCTCAAAAAACTTCATTTCTGGACTCTCTTACCCCTGATGAGGGTCCCAGTGCTGCTGTAGCACCAGCACGACCACCAGGAACCCAGAGGCTAACACAGCACCCTGGTTCACCCTGACTGCCTACTTCTGCCAGGTTTGCTCTTAGCAGCTCCTCTTTGTCAATCCATTCCCACTTTGTTAACAAAAGGAACAGCTCTCTTCATCTGTGTACATCTTCTCTTAGTGGCAAATTAGAGCAGAAATGAGAACATATAAAATGGTGTATAAACCCAATTCCTGCACATCAGTCCAGTGGTCAGCAACATCTTGCCCAATGTTCCTCCTTTGGGTGACCAGCCCTCTCCATGCTGAAGGCAAATGGTTTCAGCAGTCCAGCAGAGACAATTTTTATCTTATCCAACACTTACCTTATCCATCTTCATGTGAAGATATAAGCAGAAAAGTATGGTCCCAATGGTCTGTACCACCATGAATACAGCAAGGAAGCACATAAACATTTTCATGGTGCTGGGAGAGGTGCTGCTTATGGGTCGGGGTGCTGCAGAGCTGTAGGCTTCATTCATCCTCCGGGCACGGTGCTGGTGCTCCTGCAAATGAGCTGCTTGCAAGTAGCATGAGAACTGTTGTGTGAGCAGCCGCTGCTCAAGGGATACAGGTTGCAGCAACCTACACTTCCTGGAAAAAAACCTTCGTAGTGGGTAGGTTTGTTCACCACCATCTCCCACAACAAAAAAGAGGTTGCTTAGACATTCTTCTCTGGTGCACTTCCATACTTTTTCCTACCGTCCTACCAGAAGCAGGTAGCAATTCTTATTCTGAATTTTCATATCTGCCTCCGAAACACTCCTGGTTTTCCCCAGTGTTGTTTTTTCCTATTGTGGATGAATGCCTCATGACTAGTCATCTTCAGAGCAAGGTAGACCATGAGTCAGTGGGCAGTATCGCCGAATTGTGGTGGGGGCTGCCAGGCATTGGGAAGCTTTTTGGAACTCATTCATTTCTCAAAATGGGAAGAAAGGCTTTCTACTCTGTTTCCTTTGTGAGAGGGACAATTTTGTGATACTTGGGGGAGGCAGATGGGTTGTGCTGGTTCCTGTCCTTCCTTTGTGCCCTCCAGAGGTGAAGTCTCCCCAGGTAGAACGAGGATGGGTGCTCCTGGAGAAATGGACAACTTTGTGGGCACTGGGACCGCAGTGTGGGCATGGCTTCATCTCCTGGACAACAAGACTTCGGGTCTTTGTGCTTGGCCATCAGTTTGGAAAGACATTTTGAGCAGATTTTCTACTGTCGTGGTGAAGTGCTCACCCTGCAACCACAGGCACAAGCATCCTCAGACTGTGTCCCCCACTAACACAAATCTGGGCATGGAAAGGGCTGCTGGGGACTCTGGGCACTGCTACCAGTCACAGACCTCTGCCACAGACTGGCTTTGCTCCATGCTAGAGCAAAGAGGATGAAGCTGGGCTGCCTGCATGAAGGGCTGGGTTGATCAAACTATCATGCAAAGTTGTTTTGAAAGTAACAGGCTGAAGGCAATGCTCTTATCAGATGTGCACACAGCAAATAAAGGGCTGGATCCTGCCAGAATCAGGGTGGTGCTAAGCAGTGCTTCTCACCCACAGTGACAGCAGAGGAGGGCTCCCAGCGCCATGGGGCTGCACAGCACAGCAGGATAGGCTCCAGCACTCGCTTTTGCTGTCTACCCACTCTCTCGCATCCTGTCCTGTGTGGTTAGGGTGCTCTTAGCTACAAATGCAAGTGCTGGTAGCAAAGCACAAACATCTTTGCAACCCAGTCAGTATTTGACCTTGGCAGGTCACTGTGTTCCTAAATATAGCCAAATAACCCAAATATAACCCAAATCACAAATGCGTGACAGTGCAAGGGTCTTTGCTGGCAGCAATTCAGTGGCTGATGGATCTCCAGGGTCCTGTGCCCCCTTGCCATGCTGACTCTGCCACCTTCTTGCACAGAGGGGAGCACCAAATTATAGAATCATAGAATCGTGGAATCACTGAGGGTGGAAAAGGCCTCTAAGGTCATCAAATACAATCATCAACCCATCCCCACCAGGCTGACTTAACCATGTCGCTCAGTGCCACATCTCTGTGTTTCTAGAACACGTTCAGGGACGGTGACTCCATCACTTTCCTGGATACCCTGTTAGGGATGGGACTGCAGCCCCCATGCAGTTTGTGGGCACTACTGACCAGTGCTTTCCTTCCCTCTCATGCTGTAGTCGGTATTACCTTTGGAAATACCAGCCCCGGCCCCTGGCAGGGCTCTGAGCTGACAGAACTGTCCCTGCCATGGAGGGTCTGCCAGCTGCATCATCAAGAAGCTGCCCCCAGGGAAACCCCATGGCACTGGGGGCCACAGCAGCCCTTCAGAATGCTCTTAAGTCCTCACCCCATGCCTCAGCCAGAGGGCAACCAGCGACATTTTCCAAAGCACTTCAGACTTTCCTCCAAATTTAATACTCATGCTTGGAGGAAGTCTTCATATGAGAAACAAAATGACACGAGAAGTCGTTACTTAATACTTTCCCCGAATCCCCAGTGTCGGGACCCAGAGGCAGTCAATAAAGTGTGAAACCACAGCAGTGAGTGATGCAGAGAGCAGCAAATAAGGTTTTGCACAGCAATCCCTGAGCCCTGGCCATCCTCAGCAGATGAAATCTTCTCAGAGATGTTTCTGGATAGCCACCTGTCACCATCTCACAAAAATGAGAGAAACGTGCAGGGAATGCCAGAAATCCCAGCCCCATAGCACAAACCTGCAGCTCTGTGAGGATAGGGAAAGGCTTCGCTTTGGGGTCCCCAACACAAAATGTTGATGGAGGCTCTCTGGTTTGCTCTGAAAACCAGGAAACACAGCCTGAATAATCACCAGCGCCCTGACGAAAAAGACGGTGTGGAAAATACAATGGTGGGGACCAGCAGAGATTTGTCAGCATGCCTTGTTAAGAGGGCAGACTGGTCGCTCTTCTTCAGGAAAACATTGGGGCAATCCATCCCCAACCATCTCCTCTGGCACCATTACCAGGTCCTGTGGTTGTTCTGCACCACACCTGTGGGATGAGGGGCTCAAAACCCTCAAAATCCACGTTAGATCCTGCCAGAGCCAGGTTGTCTCATGGCTGCACATTGTTGGCCACTTCCTGCTGTAGAAACTTGGGGGACTGAGCAGAGAGGCACAGAGGGATTATGGAGGACCCAGTGCCTACCTATGTGGGATTCCCCCAGAGAAGATGAAGTTCACTTGCACCTGGAGACAATCCCACCACTGGGAAACCAATAGGGTTTTCTTTTACCCCCAACCCCCATGAACATAACCATGCCCATCTGCTCGGGCACCCAAACGAGTGAAGTTCTTCCAACCCGGGTGAGATGATGGGAAAATGTGATCCATCGCTTGCATTCCTATTGACCTACTTGCAGTATTTCCGCTGATCAGCAAATCGTCTCCACTGCACTCGGTTTTGTTTACTGAGAAAATATCCGGTTGCAAGCCCTGGTGATCTGCCAAAGGCCGGGAGCAGTTCTGAACGCAGCAAGGTGAAAGATGATGACAAGAGAGTGAATTTTTTGGGTGCTTGCTGCGGTTTCTTGTAACTAGCTCTTTAAAACATGCTGCTCACCTCACCAGCTCGTTACACTTGACAAAAGCCAGGTGCTATGCACTGCTAAGAGCAATACACTCAGAAAGAGGATTTTATTCTGAGTCACAAAAGGAGTTTGCCTGCACTGCTGTAGGAGGGATGCGGAAGGAAACCTATGAGAAAAACCTGGTTTAGTGCTTCTGACCATGAGCAGAAATGTGAGCTTTTCCATCGTTTATTTTATCAGTTCTTTAGATTTTCTTCTCTCGTGTCTCCCGAGATCTCATGACTTCAGGATTACACCCGTCACAGGAGAGAGAGGAGACAGACAGAGCCAGAACATCACAGAAAATATCACCAGCATCCGGAGAAGGAAAGGTTACATTACAGTTTCCGTTCATTTTTTTAAAACTTTGTATGACTTAGAGAAAGCTCTGGAGCGCAGAGCAACCTCAGAGTTAGTAGGAAAGGTCTGGCTTGGGATGGTCTATGGAAGAGAAGGCAGGAGGTGGCCATTGTAGCCGCCATTGTGGCAATTGCAGGCTTCAGCCTGGTTGCTCATGGTGTCCCATGCCCACAGAAAGATACCTGTGGGGCTCAGCAAACACTCCAGGCTCCAGCAGGCATGAAGTGAGCTGCCACAGGTCACTGCAAGGCCAGGGGAGAATGCCCAGACATGCGAGGGAACACATCTCCCTTCTCTGCCACCCTGCTAACCAGCCAAGAGCCAAGGGAAAAAGCTGCAGGGGACAGCACTGGGTGCTGCTGTCTCTCCGAGCTAACCAGCTCCGGGGGATGCCATCTCCTAAGCCCCTTTCTACCATCCATCCCTGCTGCAGCCATGGGTGCACCCCAAGCTAGTGATCCCAAGGGAATTGGGGTGGGTGGAGGGCCAGGAAAAGCAGAAGAACCAGCCTCGTTGCAGGATGGAGGGCCCCGAAAGGCACGTGGCTCTCACCACATCTGGGCAGCACATCTGGGCAGCACACACTACATCTAGGGGGTGTGTGCCACACAGAGCCACGCAGAGAACGTGCCTCCAAAGTGCTGATGCGAAGCCTCAGTGCAGCCGTGAAACCACAAAAGGCACTAGAAACTTCTCGCTGCGACGGCTGCACCTCTCTCTCCCAGCTTCCTAAAAATAGAGGCTGGCACAGGGTGAGCTGCAGCCCTGTGCTGCCAAACAGCCGTGAGTCACTGCAGAAGGAGGGCAGGAGCACCCAGCACGCCCCAGGGTGCTGCTTTGCCCAGCTCAGGGTGCACAGATCTGGGACCATCAAAGCCAAAACGAAACGTGATGGGGATGAGCAAAGCCCACGGGAGGTTTTGCACCCAGCGGCCACCTCCCACGGCAAAGTGCTGTGGTGTGGGTGGGGAGGGGCCCGACATCGCCTGCACAGCACCCCTCATTCCCCTCCAGGGATGGGACTGAAACAAAACCTGCATCCGCGTGGGGCTGGCGAGCAAAACAAAAGACTCAGGGCAGAGGAGGGATGTGGCTGCATGGTTTGTACCAGTTCAGAAGCTGGAAATCAAAGGTGCACTGCGCTGTGCTTCTTTCTGTCTCATCACTTGGGGCGAGATCAGCCACGCTACATGCGGTGGCAGCAGGGACCAAAGAGCTTGTTAAGTCTTGTTATTAATGTTTCTGTTTGCTTTAAATTAGAATTAAATACCATGGGGTGATCAAACACATGGCCAAAGCCCCCCTAAAATTGCTGGGCAGTGGAAGGAGCAGTATTTGCTGGAGGAGCAAAGGATGCACAGCATCTCTGCCCAATGAGATGTGGCCATGCTTGCAAAGAAAAGCATCGTGTCAGTCCCAGCATGATCCTCTTGGTCAGTGGGATCCCCACAGCACCCAAGAGGCTCACACTCATGGAAATGACAGGCGAGGGGCTGTGAGGGTGTGTGAGGGTGAGCCTGTTTGAAAGGGACAGGCAAGGAGAAAAGCCCTGGATAGGGACCAAACCACAGAGAAGGCAGCACCTGAGTGTAAACCCACACACTGCTATGTGCTCTAATAAACGCTAAGGCTGAA